CTTAGGTAAGAGGCCTGCCCTGCAGACCTCATCCCTATTAGCCGCAGTTCTACAGCTTCAAATCAGAGAGTCTACATTTATCAATTCTGACTTTGAGATCCTTTGCTGCAATTCTAATATATGTTATTAGTATTTTGACAATAATTTTAACTCATTACAAGTTACTTTTCTAGTCCCTTCTCCAAACCCAACAACCTCTCTATTCCTTGATGCTCACTCATTTATCCAATCCAAATGACCATGAAGTCAGAGTCCCTCCCTGCACCCGTGTCTCCACGGTAGCATTCACAAAGACAGTGAACTCTGCCACTCGCTGCTGGCCCAAAAGACAGACCTAAAATAGGATTAAAAAAATAAAAACTTTATGCCCAGAAATAGCTGTTTTGAGAAGCAAAGTCATACACAAAATTTAGAGTCACTCATAATATGGCCTTTTAAAATCTGTCACATACAACGCATTCTTATGCCTTGGTGCCCCAAGCAGTTGATTCTCTAGAGACATTTCAATGAGCAATAGATAAACACACAATGTTTATGAGGAGAGGTCTCATAAACCCAGAGCAAATATTTACAATTGATTCATAAACCTCTTAGGCCCATAAACATTTTATCAAGGAAACTCTGACAATCTCCTTCCACTGAAATGAACCAGTAGGAGGCATATCCCCATGATGTCATGAAAACCAACTCCAAAAAGCTGCTAAGAAAATGTCACCATTTAAAAGAAAACTGGCAGGTTGATTAGTAATGATCCAGTTTTACTAAACAGAAAATTATTTGTGAGGTTACAATATCCCATAATAAACCTAAAAATAATATCTTATTAAAAGCAGGGGTGCCTGCAACTTTAGAATGAAAAATGAAATAAATAGCTTATCCATCTTTTTCTTAAGTAATAAAACCCTGGGTTTGTACCATTTTACAATGTGAAACAAGGCTGGCTTTGCAAGGCTAAAGATGACTTGATAAAAGGCTTTCAACTGGCAGATTGGGAATGAAAAAAAAATCTATTGAATGTATGCCAGGTAATTTTTTAAATGTGCAAACAAACTGGAAGAAGACATTAAATCTGTATTAATTTAATAACAGATAGCTCAAATCACTACAAAGTATAGAAAATAATGCAATTGGGCAATAGTATAAATAACTCTGAAAAGGACAGGCATTATCAGCCCATCTGAGCTCATGGCTGCAAAACAAGCCCACAGGAATGGACAGTCATTGAAACATGAAGGGCTCTGAGGTTGTCATAAGTCACCAAATGGCCACAGTTTTTCCGAGGGGTAAAAAAAACAGGAAAAATAATCTGCCCAGGGGAAACAGCAAACTACCTGAAGAGGATTAGAAAGACAGGGTAGAGAGGGAATATTACTGCTATGTTCTGCAGAGCTGGGACTCAGCATGAAGAATATATGTTCTAAATACTTCTAAGAATTCTGACTCTTTTACTCCTTTTCTTCCCAAATAGAAGAAAGAGCCTTTAGTTCTCCAAGTAATACTTCCTAATACCTCCAAAAAGAAAATTTCTCAGGCCCACATTGCAAGTTTCTTCTACTCAGAGGTTTTCCTGCATAAATGTACAGCACCATTTTATCTCTAGACTTTATCAGGAAATTATACTGAGCAGGCCTGAAAAAATAATGTCCAAGAATCTATTTAGCATGATATCAGCATATTGTTTTGCTTGCTTTTATCACAGCCACTGACGCCACCCAGAATCACAGCCATCAAATTCCTCATCTGCTTTTGGATGCACTGCCCACACTGTGTGCTAGGAAGACTCACGGCTCCCAGGCTTCTTGTCTACCCAGGCTTACGTCAGTCACCTATCTAGAGTTCCTTAGAGAAGGCATTGTTTTACATTCATTTGTAGGAGTTGGGTATCAGTTATTGATCTCTAATAGAATTAGAGACTTTCTTTAAAAGAGAGGCAAAAGAAAACAATGTACTGTAGTGAGACTCACAGTCCATTGTTTTGGGTTAAAGTTTTCCTCATAGAGAGACCACTTCTATAAAGAATCAAAGCAGCTGGATGTGCAAGGTGGGGAGACTTGAGCAACACAGAGAAAAACATCCTGGAACAAAGGAATTTGGTTTCATATTCTTCTACTCCATGATATTTGCAATCATTGAAGTGTAGTCCCTTGCAAGGAAAACACTGTAATGTGGCATGGGGAAGTAGAAGAAAGAACATGAAAGAAGTTGGGTTGTGTCTTTGTTCTGTAGGAGGGATGGGCATGATTTCTGATGACTTATTCCTGCACTGAAGAGATTTTTAAAAATACCTAATATATGATCAATATCAGTTGTTAACTGCAGGAAACCCTAGGTCAACCCAGGGTTTCACAGCCTCAGGATGCCTGTGATTAAGCCCTGCCTCCAACGTACCATCCAGATGACTTGGCCTTGTGGTCCAGTTTCCTCATCTATAATATGTACACAATAAAAGGGCTACTTTACTGAGTGCTGAAGGATTAGTGAGCAACATATTGAAAGAACTCAAAAGTCTGCATGCCTGCCATATATTTACAATTCATAGTCATACAACTAATGTTGGTCACTCACAAGCCAATTTAGAACCCATTAAAGAATATGAAATCTGCCTTCTCTCTTATATCCAATCCCTAAATCTCATCTGAAAGCCTCCTGGGAAATGACCTTCAGGACTAAGAATCTACAGCCTTGAGCACGTCCTGGTAAATCTCACGACTACATATCTTCACAAGAGATTCTAGAACTAAAAATGTTTTATTTATTAACACATCAGAAAAAATAATAAATGAGGCTGAGTGTGTAGCTCAGTGGTAGAGCACTTGCCTAACATGCAGGAGGTCCCAGATTTAAATACTAGCATGTCAACCAAGCAATCAATCGATCAATAATTAAAAGACTTATGCTTCACTGTAACTCATTATTAATAGTTTAAATGCTGAAAACTAGATGTAAATTTCTAAAATTAAATCATTCTCTGCATTCTACAAAGTTAGAGTCTAAGTCTCCCATGCGCAAGTACAAAGAGAAGGCAGTGATTGGCCATATTAGGGGGATGAGTCCAAAACACATAAGGATAATTTGGAATTATTTAAAAGTATTATTTTTGTAAAAAATCTGAACATCCTGGAGGATGGACTTTTGGCACAAAATTCGCCAGGAACTAAGGTCATTTTTGCTGTCAGACCTCCCACAGATGCGTCATCCTCAAGGAAACATCAGCACAGAGAACTTCTTGACAGCAGATTGTCATTAATGAGTTTCTGAATCTACTTAAGCTAGAAGCAGTGAGAGAGAGACAAAGCAAAAGCTATTACAGCTGCAAGAAAATGAAAAGCCAATAATACATCATTGGCTTTTAAATAGTTTTGAAAACATACCATTGAAAATGACAAGGTACAGTAAGAGACATTGATGTGTGTGTGATATATCACAATAACACAGTGAAAGCTCAGGAACCCCAAAAGTAGAAAAATCATCTCACTCAGCAAATATAACAAAGGCTATTTTTAAAAGGGATAAACTAGCCACGTGTGTTGGCACATGCCTGTAATCCCAGCAATTCGCAGGCTGAAGCAGGAGGATTGCCGTGAATTTACAGTCAGCCTGGGCTACATAAACAAGTTCAAAGCCAGCCTGCACTACAGTGAGAGACTCTGTCGCTAAATAAATAAATAAATAAGGCATAACTATATTTCAACACAAGTACATTAGGATGAGCTTTAAGTATATATGGCCAGAAGCCTCAGTTTCCACCAGAGGACAGAGACTCTCCACTGAGGGACAGTGACTCAGGTCCACTTGAAGAAGTGTTCTTACTCATACTTCATGTGTAAAATAAAGCCAAAAGTGTGACAACTCAGTTTATTTTAAAGCAGATACTAAATCATCTTTCATCCTATTATGGCATTCATTTATTTCCAGATTTTTTTCCAAATTAAAGATGTAATCTGAGAAATTTAAGTAAATTCAACAATATCAAGCAGCCTATAATTCTATCATCAACTAATCTGATCAAAATGTGAGGACCAACTTGCCAGCTTCTTTAGGTAGCAGTTAAATCTCCCACGAGTGAGCATTTCTTTTCACATGAATTCATCACAGCAAATGTCTGTGAATTAGTGGACTAAACGGTGGTTACTTAATTCATTGTTATGCATGAATAGTGCTTTCTTTTTTAAAAAAAAGATATCCTTTTTAAGTAATCCTTTACTCTAGAAAAAAGATGAACTTACAAATTCACTAGTTAAATATTAAAATTCAACCAAGCTGTGGGAGTCTTGTTTGTTTTTGTTTTATTTTATTACAGTAGCTTTGGGGAGAACACTTCACCACAAATCCACGTGACCTAAATTTCTTTCACATCATACATTCTTCCAGAACACGTGCTGAACACTCTGGAGAACATCTTTTGTAAGCAGTGTCTCCTACAGATTTGGGTAGATCTGGATCTCCTGTGTCCCTGTGGCACTTGGGAAGGAATTCTATTTGCCAGCCTGCCTTGCAACAGCAAGAATATGTGATTAACTTCTGGTCAAGGAGTTTAGCAAAATTGCATTTGTGTCTGCTGACCTACCTACAACACTGAGCTGCTTGTTTGAGACCCACCTGTCCCACTTGCCAACATCATAACCACCCTGGGCACCACACTGAAGTATGGTGTCACAGGACAGTGCACAGTCACTTCCTGGAACAGAGCAACAGGGACATCTGTGAAAGATAATGTAAGGATTCTGCAATATTCTACTAGAATAAGCCACTTACATTTTGAAGTGATGTGTTGATTCATTATTACCTAGTCTGCTCCGACTACTAAAGTCATATTAATTTCAATTCAAAGGACACATAACATTAAAACTGCTATAGTGTGTTTTTAGAAAAAAGATAGCAAATTATGGGAACAGGGAGTAATGTGAGATCTCAAAATGTTGTCTGCATCACTCCCTGAATGTTTCAGGGGGATATGCATCCATAAACCAAAAGCCAGAGGATGGCGCAAGCAGTCCTACCTGAATCGAGGTCTCCATTTCCATTAGCTGAGTCAACGTGCTTTTCCAAGAGAGATGAGGAAGGGTCTTGCATGTTGGAAACTGACAAACTGCTCTCCATGTTCTTTTCCCTTAATTCATCTTACAGAAAGAATTATCTAAAAGCAACCAGAAGAAAGAAAAAAAAAATCAGAGCACTTTAATTATATTAATCATATTAACTTGATCCTAAGCTCTCTAGAAGTAACATAATCCTATCAGAATTGTTACCAACTCATTATAGCATTTAGGATGTAACAGAATGTTAATAACAGAAAATATTGGAATAAAGAATAATGAGTGCTTTTCTACACAAGGTCAACCACAAAGGTCATAACAGCAAAACCTTCAATTTTACATGGATCATTCACACCTTTAATATGGACATGATTTGTACCAACAAGTAGGACTTGTTTCAATCCCTAATCCACTGTGGTGACCTTGAGCAAGCTACTTGACTTAGTAAGAAGTCCTCATGTGTCACAAGTGATCTAGCACCAAAACCAGTTGAGTATTAATGTTTGCAAGTAACATGCTTTCTGACAAATTAGAAATAAGGATACAAATTTCCTTATAATAGCACTGTCATTTCTAGCTTGCTTTCTGATATCACTTAGAGTAGAGGGAGAAAACGCCAGTCAGTTCTCACAAAGTTTTACAAATGGAGTTCATTTAGGTCAGAGTTCATGAGATACCAGAAGCAGTAATTTCTAAGGAGCAGCCATTCCAGTTCAGGAGCGTAGATATAGCTATATGATGTTTCTAAGCATTTCACTCATTCAGTGTTCTCTGATTTCACATACAGAATAAGTTAAGTCAGCAAAAGGAGGACAGATGAAGAAAATAAATAACATGGTACATCTATACTTATCAACAGAACATTGCACAGCTCACATGCTAATAAAATGTCATTTAAGAATACCACTCTTCTTAAACATGCACACACACAGCCTTCTTTGATGCTATTTAGTTTACATTCGTGAAAGATATTTTGAAACTTTGTCAAAACTGAATATCCATAAAAGATTGTTAGTCATTTGTGCAATGGCAGCGAAAAGGCTGAAAACTTCTGCCAGAAGTAGCCAGGAAGAGACTGGACATGAACAAGTACCCAGCATTGGAATTTAGTTTATTTCATATTAAATTACCTACCTGTTGCACATAAAGTGCAATAGACACTGTGGGGAGGATACAAAGCTACTTCTCAATCAAAATGCAAAGAAATAAAATACCTATCTTAGAACAGGAATTATGAAAATACCTTGAACTGGTTCATTAAACAGCAATGTAGGCATTCTGCTTCTACAAAGATGAGTTCATGAATAAGCAAATGGAATGACAATCAAGAACATAAAACACATGTAAACAATCAGATGATCCTTCATTCACTCAACACTGAGCACAGGCTTAGCATATTTTTGGGAAGCAAAAATGAAAGCATATGGTCTGAGGAACAGAAGCCAACAAATAACTTAAATCAGAGCTGTCCCAGAAGATGTGATACCTATGTGTGTTTAAAAATGACATGAAGGGGGCTGGGGATTTAGCTCAGGGGCTCAAGCCCACTGCCTGGTAAGTGCAAGGCTGTGAGTTCGATCCCTGGTACCAGAAAGAAAAAAAAAAAAAAAATCACATGAAGTAGTGAAGCATGCCTATGACTCCACCACTCAGAAGGTTGAGGCAAGAGGATCACAAGTTCAAGGCCAGTACAGACCACAACAAGATTGTCTCAAAACAACAACAAAATCATGCAAATACTATATTACTACAGGTAAATACTATACCTAAAGACACATTTAAATCCACTGCAGCATATTGCAGGGTATAACAGAGAAAGTAACTTAAAAGCATTCTTAATCTCAACCCTATGGATCCTTGTATCTAAGATAAGTGTACTAAAAATATAGTACAGACAGAAATTACCTGAATCTAAATCAACACTGGGGTTTGCTTTCTTTTTAATAACTCACAAGTAGAAGTTTTCTCATTCCCTCAAGGGCCACTGGATGAGCCTAGTTTCTGAAAGCTTAAACAGAAAGATCACTAGATTAAAGAAGCTACTGAATAGACATATGCATTCTGAGATGCACAAAATACAAAGTTGGCAAACCCAGCAATGTACCTTCAAGGCTGGCTCACTTTACCCAGTGCGGTCTGTCCTAGTCAAAATAACCCCTACATTAGTGAGCAGAACTGCACTTTCTTTAGATGATTCTTCAAGATCTGTTACAACAGGGACACAAAAACCTGTGCAAACAACCCACTCTCTGACAAAACTGAATCCAGTCAAGAAACACACCCAGAGAGCAAACCCGACGTAACGCCAAACGTCAGCAATCAGAACCATCTTGAAGAAGTCCAAGTGCCAACCTTGGCTCAGAAGCTGTCAGAGATTTCCTATTAGGAGCTACACACAGCAGACTGATCAGGGGACCATGGGCACTATGCTTGGGTTTTACAGTGGGTGATGAAATATGCCAGTTTATCACTATGGCCACTGGCATTCGTGAGTGACTATTGATAGAACCTGCAGACAAACCAATTGTCCTCCAGGTAAACAGTTCACCAGCTTAAAACTTGGTGGGGGAATAGGCCGGTGGTATGCATGAGGCCAAATTTATCCTCATCACCCCAAAATAATAGCAACAAGCAAGTAAACTAACTCTAGATAGACAAATACTCATAATAGGAAATTTTATTACAAACATGTTAACAGAGGTTCTGGTTTAGAGATGCAGACATTTCATGGGGTACCATATTGTTCATAATGCCAATGGCTGGTATAAAGCACCAGTGTAGTCCTTAGTTCAAGACAGAACACAAGTCAGTAGAGAGGTGGGCATGGATGGGTGAGGATGCACAGAAGAACAGAAAAGAAGAGTGTCTCAAGGGAAATGCCCACAGGTGAAGAAGATGGTAAGAGGAAACCAATGATCAACAGGAGCATTGGCTTAAGAGCCTGAAGAGGGATGGGGGAAAATGGTACACACTTGTAACCCCAGCCAATCAGGAGGCTAAAGCAGGAGGATTCCATGTTGGAGGCCGGCCTGGACAGCTTAGTAACACCATGAGACAGATCCTCAGGAAAGTAGAAAAGATATTAAACAAGAAGATCCAACAACAAATAGTGTGGCAGGACATGCAAAAAATTCCAAGGTAACAAAGGGTACAGGGAGAAAAACAGGATTAGGTGCACCAGCACTATCATTCCTACTCATTCTCACTTCCTGATCTGTTAAAATAAATGTTAAAAGTTGTTTTAGGCACCAGAAGACATGTGGGACAAAATTAAACAAAACCTCTGCCCTAGTAGATATCACATCCTAACTGGGAGAAAAAAGCTAATATATTTTTTAAAAATTATTTTAAAAATAACTAAATATGTATTTTATAAATTTAAAAAATAAAAACTAGTAAGTTATATAGTCTATTAGAAGGTGATCAGTGCTATATCCAAAAGAAATAGCAAGAAAGATTAGGAAAACAATGGAAAATAATGATAATTATTTAGGTGGTGGCCACCTCAGTAAGTGAGAAAGGCTTGAGCAAAGGCTTGGGGATAAGAACAAGGAAACTGGCTGAGTACAGAGGAGAAGACAATGGTTTCCAAACAAGGACCAGAACTGCATGTTACTCTGCAGGCAGCAGCGGCAGTCACAGGATGCAAGTCCAGGGAGGGAAATGACCAGAGCTATCACAGAGAAATCACTCCTGCTTGGGGAGCCAGCCACATGTAACCTGGATGGAAGGAGCAACCCCAGATGGAAGCTAACTAAAACCAAGAAAGCACAGACAAGGGCTGAAACTAAGGCACGGGAAAGGAATGAAGGAGACAACTTCAAGAAGCATCGGAAAGGTATAATCAACAGAATGCTGCAGAAATAATCCTAACAAAATGCAATCTTCACAGCACGTAGTCACAGTTGTTACAATAAATGACTTTACTTTCCACAGCCAGCTCTCAGCAACTAATAGAACTTACAGAAATAGATAATTCTGGGAGAAACATATTAAATATGAGACTAACATACCACTTCACAAGTAATTTCTATTGACTTGCTGTTTTCAAAAATCTATTCATTTTAAATGGGGAGGTGGTGGGGGGCAAATCTCACTGGGGACAATTGATCCATTAAGCTTTGCAAAATAGAAACAGGATGTTTTAGGATGGACATATAGCTCAGTGGTACAATCTTTCCACAGCATGCATGGAGCTCTGGCTTGGAGCCCTAGCACCACAAAAAAAATAAATAAATAAAAACACCACACAAAAACCAGGATATTTTAAAAGAACAAATCACTTTCCTAACAATTTCAAATGTGCTTCATTCATGTTAAGCAAGAGCTCTACCACTAAGCTACACTCCCAGCCCCCTTTTGATTCTTAAAATATATCATATAACTTCAAGGCTGAAGTACAGCCATCTATTAATTGAAGCAAGATTTTTTCCAGAAACATATGAAGGTCTAGAAAGCTGGGCTGTTAAAGGGTAACTTCTTGTTTGTACTACATGCTTTGTGATTTTATGTAAATTTTACAGTTGGTAACTCTTGTCTCCAATGAACAACAGAAATACAGCACTGGCATTTCTTACAAAAGCTGTCTTTGACCAATGAAAAAATCATTAACTTGGGAAATAAGGAGCAACGAGGCCACTACCTACCTGTGTGACATAAATAAATTTTGTTCAACCTCTGTATTTGCTAATTGCTCATCAATTAAATAGAACTGCTTGTTTAGATCCAGTCAAAAGTTCCTTTCACATCTAAGGTGCTATGAATTTACTATGTATTTTTAGTGTTAACTGTATATTTTCTCCTTCAGAGTACCCATTTTTCTGAACCAAATTTAATACAATAATCATTCTCTTTCAAGCCAATCATCCCTCATTCTTTTACCTGTTGTGCATTTACAGAACATAATTTCATAACATGCCAGGCAAAGCCATGCTAGGGAGGAAATAAGCAAGGAAAAGTACTCATTTTATACTACTCTAAAACTAATCAGAAACTATTGGTGCTTCATGGCCTATTCTGAATGGCCAATAAAACTTTCTCTATTGGCCCAGCCCAGAATGGTAACTACTAGCCACATGTGGTTTCTGGGCACTTGAAATAT